TAAATTTGAGCACTGATTGCTTTTGGAAAGGACTGTTTTTTGTTTTTCATATACACTGCTCAAAAAAATTAAAGTCCATAAAAATGCAGGGGGCATTTTAAAACTCAAAAAAAGGGCACCCACAAATCCAGTAGTCGCCTGCTGTGTGATCCCTTGCATTAAGAGGCTAATAGGGAAAGCTGTGAACGAGATCACCCCTACATACCTGAACTATAACAATGTTGAACTCCCCCGTGAAGAAAGAGAATCCTATACTCCCTTACAGACTATGGCCCCTGATCATCATATTTCAGACTTATAAAAAAAAAAAGGGGAATGCTACAAATTTCCCCCCCCCTAACAGACAACTATAAGCAGGGAAGACAGTGCCTGACTGTGGCCTTCTCAGGACGTATCGACACTCTAGGGATGGATTAGCCACTCAGGGGCTCTATATGCGTCTTAAAAGAGTTCCAGAGGGAGGGCCACCAGGCAGTTAGGACATCAGAAGACATAGGGACAGTCAGGAATAAAATAGCCATTTTAAGGGGGGATTGTAGTGGATTGTGATTGACAGTCCACGTTTTATTAGATGATCAGTAAAATGACAATTTTATAGTCTTGCTACATTCTGTATCTTGCTCTTTAAATTCCTTACTCTCTTAAGTAAACAATCAGATATAGGTTGACAGAACAATGATGATAATTAAGATGGCGCCTTCATCTGGAGTCTCGCCCTTGGTGACTCATTAGGAGAAAAGTATCTTTTAATGTAAACAACCCCCATAAAAGGGAATGAGTCTCTTTGGGGATAATGATTGGAAGATATCAACACGGATGGACGAACACGCAGAAACCCAGTGGACTTTTCACCCAATCAATGTATATGCTTTGCCTGCATCATATGCCCTATAAATGATACTGTTAGTTCCTCAATAAAACAGAATTTTAGGAAGTTGGCAAACTGCGAAGTGTCAGTGTCTTACTTCCACGTGCACGTATTCTCATATTAATTTGGCTCACTGGTAGACCACGGTAAATGGTCTGTAAGTGACCGAGTCCAAGACAGAACTAACTCCAGAAAGGACACCCCAGGAAGACCAGAAAAGATGAAAATGAGATTGGTTACCTACCAGAATCAAATGTCGTTTAAACAAATGAAAACCCAGCAGCAATTTAGGGATAAATCCCAAACAGAACCACATTGAATAATGGAACAGTGATATAACCACTGGCTCCACTCCAACTTTACTCTCATTTAGTAGGAATATATAAGATACAAATACTCATGGTGCAGTATATCCCTATATTAAAATGAGAAAATTCACTCACATTTGATATAAACTGACATCACAATCACATTTCCATATGCTGCAGGAATGGTAACATCCACCCTGACGATGTCAAACATATAATAAAACGTGTTGGGCTGTGCCTAACGTAGCGTTACCACGCACAGAGACCCCCGGCCGGAAGGAACACATTGTGGACAGACACAGCAGCAACTGCTGGCTGCAGGGCTGGGCCTGCAAAGGCTAAAGAGGCTTTTGAAAGGGGGGCTTCCAAACACCTGTCAACAGAGTCTTTAAAAAAATGGAACATCTCTATTACAGCAGTAAGGTGCTGACATCTCCATTAAAGCAGTAAGATATTGAGAGCTGAAATGGAATGATCCACTACCAGTCTAATCTTAAAATTAATTTTCCATAGGATAAATCTCAACAAAGAACCTAGTGTTGAGTGAACCAAAATTGCACAATAAATCAGTGCATGTATGGGAAACCTCATTTTAGACCCAAGCAGCCTCTTAGCACCCATTGGGACTTGTTTTGGCTGTGAAACATTATGTGGTGCTAGGGAAAGACTTGTGCACACCCTGACAATCAATGTGTCCACAGCAGAGAGCATTAGGCATAAAGAAGCTTGTGCTTCATAAAATGCAGGAGAATGAAAATGCTCTGCTCATTGCTACAAAATAGTTTCCTACATAATATCTTCAAGTAAAGGAGGGGTTCCATCTGATTCCTGAACAGGGTCACGGGAATAGAGGACGCAAAGCCTTTCTGGCCTCTGGAAGCTGAAGGCTCTGGAAGTGTTGAACGTTTACAGACCAATTCAAGCTTAGTGGCAGACAAATCTGCTTTTGTCAGGCAGCTGCATGGTGACATGCCTTGACAGGGTGCTAGGTGCTAGAGTCAGATAGGGGGGCATTGTCCTAATTGGTCTATGAATACAAGTATTTGTCCTGTACAATTAAAACAAACTGTTTACGATAAAGAATGCAATATTCTCACTGAAAATACTATGCATGTCTAAGATTCACCCCTCAAGTCAAACCAAACCAAACCATTCTTACTTATCTAGATCATAGTGGGCCTCATGTATTAGCGTGTGTAAGGGGGTGATATATTTTGGATATTACAATAACAACACAGAAATTCACTTTTCCTATATCACTATGTTGGTGTGGAACAGCAGAGATTGCCTGCAACATTTCTTTCCCATTTATAACAGTAGACATAAAAATTGTGATCTTACTCTCCTAACAGGCATAATGAAACTATCAAAAACTTTCTTGTTGCAAAAAAAAAGTCTTTTTTTCTGCACATATGGTTAGTGAACCTTGAAAGTAGTTGCAAGCATGCAAGAATGTAGAAAGAAAAACTACCTTTAGACCACATTTTACACAGATAAACACATGATGGCTTAGCTAAAGATTGAAATTATTAAGAAAGAGTGTGATCTGTGTTACATCAGCAACTGAAAAGTGTTGCAGAAGGAATAGTAAACCCACAAGAATGTTAACAACTGCACACAGAGCATTTTTTTTATCCCAGAGAGAGTCTAAGAATGACCTCCAGAAGTCAGGCTCTTGCTTATTCCCTCTCTTCAAAATACAAATACAGAATGACAAACGGCTTCCAGTACAGGTGGTGCTTACAACAACATTCTTTTTTTGAACTTTCTAAATGGCAAAATGTACTGCTGTGATTTCACTGTATTATATAAAAAAATTAGCCCATCTGTTCAATTCTGGAAGATTTCACACTTTTGTTAGGAACGGAACATAGAGGAAAAATAAATATTCCTGAAGTCGATAGGAAGTGCTGATCTTGGCACTTCTAGAATTTCACATCAGTGCAGTTTGTTTTTAAAGAGGCTTATAGCTAACCTAAGTGTATAGCTTGTTACTTAAAGAGGTGAATTAAAGGGCACACATTTAAATATGTGAAAAAGAAAAATGCTGATATTAGGTCAACCTGTTAGTCATCTTTTGAATACATAGTTTCTTTGTCTTGCAAGATGATGCTCCGGCACAAGAACCTAATTGTTCTCAGGATCCCGACAGAAGGATTGTGATGTCACCCTTACCTAGGTGCCGTTGTTGGCAGTAATCGGGAATAAGTATATTTTGTAACTTTTCTTACTACTATATTACAGCGATTTCATATGAGGAAGGGGAATGCCTTCATAAAGCAGATCTTGCACTAAAAGTAATGATCATATAACATTAGGCCTCCCCTTCCCACATATGAAATCGCTGCATGGTAGTAGTAAGAAAATAGAAAATATACTTAACATCCTCATTTTCTGTACTGACAAGGGTGACTTTCCAATGAAATTCCGTAAACACTGGTTATCCCAAAGATGACGCTCCAGCTCCTTGGTACCCCTGTTCAGCTTATCAGTACCCTCGTTCAGCATATCCCATGCTAAGTAGTACCCCCCAGCTCTGTTTCTGCCCAACTCAGAAGTACCCTAAGCTTTGCTGATCCCCAGCTCAGTAGAAATTCCCTGCTCTGCGGTTACCCTCTCAGTAGTAACCGACAGCTCTACTGATCCCTCTCTCAGTCCTCTCTTTCTGGTCTCCGCTCACCTTTCGCTATAGCTTTCCCATGTGGGCCGTCTGCTAGATGCTCAGATCCGGTCTGGACCCTGCTCACATTCCTGCTGCTACATGCTGCACACCAGATGTGACATCCCCACCAGACACTTCCAGAATATATATAAATGAACTGGAAGTGACTGCTGACTACATCTTTCTGGTTTTCTTGTTGGTCTCCAGTGCATCCTGAGATATCTCATACCTGCAATACCTTAAACAAAGCAAAGCTAACATTCCACATTCATTGCTATTTAAGTGAATTCGAACTCATTCTACCACTCTTGGTGTTATTCATTGATTAATGACATGTGTTCACTCTGACTATTTTACGCATGTTTCTTTGACTTGTAATAATGTACACCTGTTCTTGCTTTGCAATGTTTGTAATTTTTTTACGTGTTTGGAATTTTTCACGTCTTAATTGTGAAAATAAAAAGATATTCAACCACAAAACAAAGCAAAGCTAAAGCTGAAAAAAAGCCTCTCCAAAGCTGCAGGTGCTGTAAGCGAGCTTTTTCACAGACTTCTAGGGAGGCTTTGAAGCACCATGAGAGAGACATGAGGGATGATTTACTAAAGGCAAATAGTCTGTGCACCACAAGTGCACTCCAAGTGCAGTTGCTCTACGTCTGAGGGGAGTATGCAAGAAAAATTAAAAAAACCCAGCATTTTTGCTTGCACATGATTGGATGATAGAAATCAGCAGAGCTTCCCCTCAGATCTAGAGCAACTGCACTTGCCGTGCACTTTCAAGTGCATTTGCAGTGCACAGTATAATTTGCCTTTATTCAATCAACCCCATTGTGTAGAATCAAAGCAAAGCAAACACAACATGTGAACAGGACTGCAAGCTAAGTATTTTATTTAGTGGCAGTGGCTTTGATTGGCATTCAAAGTGCTTTAAAAAAGCGTGTCCAATGCCACATTTTGAAGCAAGTTTAAACGAGCCCTAACTCAGCTTGAAGGTATTTATAGATTAAGGTCATGCTTTCCATATTAGTTTCCTCATGCTGTAGGCAAAATAAAACTATGCAAATGAAGAAAGTGGTAATACCCATGTATTACAACAGAATTATACTTTCACTGTCTAGGGTGCATTAAATCAATTCTAAGTTCTACATATAAGTTTACCTACCATTTCCTTTATAAAGGTTGGGTGAGGATGGGCTCCCAAGGCTATGCATACTAACACCTGCAAAACAACAAGATTTTATCACTTCGTAGTCAGAAGCATAAAAAACCCAGCATATGTATTTTGGCTTTAATTATACCAGACCTTTACCTAGACTAGCACTCTTACTGTAATATAATATGTGCAAATGATCAATGTAAGTACACCTGTAATGTGAAAAAGCTACCACTGCTGCCTTCCTTCTAAAAAGGAAAGCTGCCTGGATGTGTAACTTCAGAACTTCTGAATCTGTAATCTAGAAGTATGCCAGAAAATAAGAGAGAAATGTCAGAATTCCTTAGCATTAATGTTAAAGTTTGGGGTGGAACATGTTACATGTTTCCAATGCTGCAGCCGCTGCCCGATCCCCGCCCCCTGGAATATACCCTGTACTATCTGCCAGTTTTTTAAATCAGTGTGGCTGTGCGGGGTTCCACCCACACGGCTGCGTCATTCATTCACATAGTTCTGTGAATGAACTACAAGTTCCGCTTTAGTGGCTTTCGGCTTACAGCTCTCGAACTACCATGGTGCTGTGGAGTGCCGTGTTAGTTCGTTGATTCTTCCTGTCAGTATATTTGCTTGCCCGTACATCCTGTATGGGCAAGCTGATATACTGACAGGTCTGTAGGAGACCTGCATGGCACCAGCGATCTGCTAATTGCTGCTGCAATGCTACTTTGCAGGTTCCTGAAACAAAAAATAATAAATGTACAATTTTGTACCTGCAAAAAATGTGCATTTATTATTTTTTTTTTTGTGAAAAGGTAAACTTATCCTTTAGGACATCTGTGTAACCATATTCGGTTCTACTCTATAATATATGGATATATATCCCCATGTTTTATGTCTTAGGCTAGGTTTATACTACTGCAGCTGCATTTTGATCTGACATTTAATGTGATTATGCACTGCAACTTGATTGTGTTTTTACATGCTTTAGATATTACTGTGTTTTCTGATAGGGGAGGGAGCAAGTACCTGCTGGGATCTTAAAAACCAAAGAGAACATAGTGCCTCTGCTGCACTGAAATCCAAAGCAGTGTTTCAGCCCTGCCCAATTCAACCCTGCCGGACAACAAAACACATCCTCTTCTCCTCCTCTCAATGACATTGGAGAAAGTTGTTCTATAGACTCGGTTGAAAAATTGGGCAGGTCCGATAACAGCACATAGCAAAAATAGAAAGGTATTTTTGTACTTGCAGGGTCGTTAAAAAGATTAAACATGGAGAAATGTGCATGTATTGAAGAGAAGTTCTGCATGTTTTTTTTTTTATTTTGTTTTATTTTAGTACAAATATACACTTAAAGCTTCTACTGTACAGTGTTGGTTGGAGAACACAATGCTTTGTCTAGCTATAAACATGTATAATGTCAGTTTAACTATAGCAAATTAAGTTTTATGTTGCTGACCCACAACATAGGCGTGACCACTGTCATCCATAGACGAAGAGTCTGACTCGGGTTTCCTAATATCAGCGTTCCTATTAAATCCTGAAAATGACTTGGACCTAGAGAAAAAGCATAACAGGACAAAGGTTAGTTGTGAAAAATCCATGTTATGAAAGGTTAACTCGTTCACGACCACCTAACTCATATATACGGCATCCAGGAAGTAGGCTTTAAACCAGGGCGGCACATATATGTGTTCTTGTGTTTGTGCTGGGAGCATGCAAGCCTGTACACTTCCAGCACAGAGAGAGGGTGATAGGGCTGTTGCTGACAGCCCGAGACTCTACTAACGATTGGGACCTGGCAGAACCAGATACCAAACACATGATCAACGTGATAGATTCTGGCTATCACAATGATCATTCAATCTGTAGCTTGCCCCTGTGTTGATTTTCCTCAGTGAAGAGGAGAAAAGCAGACATGCCCTCTAGCAAGGTATCTTTTCCTCCTCACTAAAAAAATAAAAGATTAATTGGTTCATGGCTAGTGTAATAAGTGTTAGTCTCAGTGTAGGTGCCAGTGGCAGTGTGTCAGTTACAGTTAGTTCCAGTGTAAATATCAGTTAATGTCAGGTTAAATGTCAGTTAGTGTTGGTGTGTCAATGTCAGTTAGTCACAGTGTTAAAGTCAGTTTAGGCAAAAAAAACAAGAGCAAAATTTGCACACATACAGTATGTGGTATCATTGCAACTGGCAGGAGTAGAATGTATTTTTCAGGTTTTTTTGCTGGTGGGTCATGCTAATGTAATAAAAGTATAAGTATAAAGTCGTCCTTTCATAATAAAACATAATCAGGAGCTATTCATTACCATTTACCGCCAAATGAAAGCCCAATCTGTCCTGAAAAAAACAAGGTACAATCCACCTGGATACACACTGGAAACATGATTGTATACTAGCGATAGGTTTAGTAGTAGAAATGAGAGAACATTAAGGCAGAATTTTATGTACTGCCTCAAGTATGTATGTATGAAACACATGCTGGTAACAATTTCTTACTTCATACACAATTAGCACTGCTGGAACTAAAAAAAATGTGTGCAATATATAGGTACACATATATACGAGGTGTGACCATCTAATTCCCCGCCTGACCACAGCGTAGCACTATGGTGGTGACTCACACACCCATTTACACTTGAGCGTGTTCTGACATGTTCTAACTTGCACTCGCTTGGGTCACAGACCAGTTGACTCATGCTTTACAGAGTAGAAGAAATAACGTGTGTGTTGCACTGTTGGCGAAAAATGAGTGACAGGAATCTGAAGCAGTGGATTAACATCACATTTTATGTAAAAACTGGCAAAAGTGCAAGAGAAACTTTAGCTCTGTTTCAATAAGCTTATGGTGAACATTCCATGAAGAAATCAAATGTTTTTGAATGGCAGAGGCTGTTTAAGGAGGGGTGGAAAGATGTCCGAGTTGATGAATCAAGTGGGCAGCCAAAAACACAAAGGACGGATGCAAATATGGACAGAGTGTGAACCCTCGTACAGTCAGATCAAATGTTGAGTGTGCGAATCATGGCAGAAGAATTGAACATATACAGGGAAACAGTGTGGCAGATGCTAACAGAGGATTTGGGAATAAGAAAGATTTCTGCAAAGATGGTGCCTTGAATCTTGACAGGAGATCAGAAAGAACATTGTTTTCAAAATTCATTTGATCTTTTGAAGAATGCAGAGGTATTTGATATTTTTTTACAGTCCTATCTGGGAATTAAATTGTCGCACCTTGTACATTATGTATAAATTTATGCCCCCCATTTTCTTACATTTAGTCACTCTATGCCAATGACCTATACTTACTCATTGAGCCTTCCACAGCCGGTCACCGACTCTGTATCTGACTTGACCATTTGATGAAAGGATGCCTGACTCATTAGTTCTTCCAGTGTGTTTGGGGGATTATCCATTCTGGCATTCAGCATTCTCCGCTGGGGTGACTGAGCAACCTGACTGAGATCATGATAAGATTTGCTAATAACCCGTGGTCTGTCTTCCCAGGGGTTTTTTGCTTTTCTGTCTTTTCCCCCACTGCCTAGGTGTGTTTGAAGGACTGATAGGTCTGAACAAGACAGTCTCTTGAGAAGATCAGGCTGAATTGATACAGGTCGTACTGCCATTCGATTTAATGTGCTACTAGCCAGGCTGGTTGTGCTAATAGCTCTTCCCATGCTCAAACCGCGCAGAGTTTCTGCCTGGATGTTCAGGCTCCTTAGAGACGCTCTTTCTGATTGGAAAAGCATATTTTAGGAAAAATGGTGAGATACAGCACATATTAATTAATCCAGTAAAATGTGATTAAAAGATAAATTTGTGTTGCCCACAGGCACCAGTTAGGTGTTTCCATTCTAACAGCCGAAGCTTATAACCACTGCTAGACAACAGAGATTTTTGTTATTTAGAACACTTTGATATATGAGGCTATACATTATTAATATTCATGAACAAGAGCACAAAACCCAAAAGGTAGCATTGATGACACACAAATCAGTACTGAATAAATGTAACTCATTACAAAAAAAAAATGGGTAATAGTAATCACTTCCAAAAAACTAAATGTATGGAAACTCTACAGCCATAACATATACTATATTTTACAAGGCTCTAGTTGGGAATTTGCAATCACATAAAGGCAGAAGAGCTGAACAGAAACACTGGTCTTCACTGTAGTAGTTGGTCACATTCACCTGGTAGTGATGGGAACATACCCCAGCATTTGCACTCACAACTGAACTGGATTAAGGTGACCAAGTTGCCCATTAGGATATGTAGGCTATGTTCCTGCCAGGCATTTGAACTTAGGAATCCATTTGGATTTGATTTGTAATGCTCAGCATTACAAAAAAGCCTAGTTCAATGTGACTTCTTACTACTAGTCATACAATGACCCGGATAAACAAAAAATGCTCACAGACAGGTTTTCATATGTATCAAATCCACTTCATGAAAGCAAATGGGGTGGTAATTAAAACATGATATTTTTATTGTAAAGGTCTCAATACATTATATCATAGGCACTAATTGCTATAAATTACTTTGGAAAAACACTTCCTACATCTACCCACAACAAACCTCTTCACCAAAAGCATCCACTTTTTTTGCCCATAGCAACCAACTACATATTCCTCTTGTGTCCTATTTACTTTTTGTCCATGCACTATGAACATGAAGCAGATGGAATAATAAAGACATTTTAAACAGCTTAGAAAGCAGGTAAACATTTATATTATGCATTTTTAGCAAGTGGATGGATTGGTAAGGCTAGCTCTGATTCTGAGAAAAAAAACACAACAAGAAACACATGGCATCTTACCAATCTCTTGATTCTCTTGGCTGCTTTGCCTGGCTCTCATTTGTAGCTGGAACTTGTGCTGGGAAGAGCAGAGGTGGAGGAGATACTGGCAAGTCTTGCTGCTTTCTGTTTGGAAAACATGCTTGATCCCATCTGATGTGTTTTGCAAACTTATTTTTTTCTTCTACAGCCAGACAAAAAAAAAAAACAAAAAAACCCACAATGTTTCCATTTGTAATGGAAGAATAATTTAAATATCCTGTACCTATGCATCCAAAACATTGATTAATTGAAGCACACCTCTACACAAACAGTTACTAAAACAGTTAAAATACATGCATCTTTCTAGGCCTACCAAAAGATCTGCAATTATTTAAGTTCCTTCCAGGGACACCTGTGACTGTCCCTGAAATATTTTTTTCTTAGTGTTTGTTGGAGTTAGGCTTTATTTTGTTAGTCACTTACGTAAAGTGTACCTAAACCTACTAGTCCATCTAATACTGCCCTCTCCAGACAGTGTTGCTGCTCAAGGGCGTCTCTGTTGCTCCTCCATAGAGAGGAGCCATCCTGAGACAAGAAATGTGTTACTGGCCAGATCACCAAGTGACAATAAAGGAAACAGCTAAACACAGAAAACTAATGTAGCCACAACGTCTAAGAATAAGTAAGCTGCAATATATTATATTTTTGTTTTTGGGTTTAATATTGCTTGAAGTTTAGATCCGTCTTAAGGTCATAAGCTTCAATGTTGACCTATCAAATCCACCTGGCGCTAGTGGAACAAGAAGCAGGCTGTCCCCTGCGAGGAGCTTTGGAACAATAAACAGAGTAAGAAAATCTAAAGGGAGCCGTAGCTGGGAGATATAACTGAACAGTGTGTGCCATAATCCAGAACAGCCAGAGGGACACCTTGCATGAAGCCCTTCACTACAACTGAAAGTCAAGTGGTCTCTGAAAACTAATCACTAAGGCTGATATCTAACTCTTGATCGCGCTCCAGGCCAAACATTGGTAGAGACCAGACTAGAGAGAAACAAGATTCATCCCTCGAAGAACTTTCTGGATAGAATTTCCTTGCTTCGCACCATGCTTTGGTAGACTCTGTAGACTGTCAGAAGTCAATTTTCTAGCTTTCAAAACGGTAGGGATAACCAAATTTTATAGGCCTCTGTCCCTCAGGACCAACAACCAGACCAATAAAGCCAGTGACCAACAAGCAGGGTGGTAAACCGGCCCTTGGGACAGAATATCTGCATGATCTGCGAGAGCCCAAAAAGTCTGTCGGAGCCTGAAGAGGTCTGAGTACCTATGCCCTTTTGGGCCAGTTCAGTGCAATGAGAAACATCACAATGCACTTCATCCTGATCCAGTGAAGTAGATGAGAAAGGGGCTTCAGAGTAGGAAAGGCATAGATTAAGTCAAACAGATCCCATGGAGTCAACAGAGCATCCGCTGCAAAGGCTAGAGGATGTCTAAACCGGGAACCAAACCTGCTCAGTTTGTTATTGAACTTGGAAGCTAGAAAGTGCACATCCTCTATCCCCCACCTGAAACAGAGGTCTTGAAACACTATTTTCCAGAGTCTAAACAACGGTGACTGAGGAAGTTTGCTTGTCGGTTTTCCAAGCCTGCAATGTGCATGGCAGACAGGGAAAGGACATAAAGTTCTGTCCAAACCAGAATTAAAACGGATTCTCTTTGAGCCACAAGATTTCTTCTTCCTAGATGTTAGCCACTGCCAGAGCATTGTCCAATTGAATCCTGTTTGGATGACCTTGTAGACAGAAGGTCCAGAAGGGATAAAAGAGTAATGAACTTCCAATAACGGAGTTCCTTGTACTGAGCCTGATAGGCTGACATTCATTGTGCAAACCTTCCAAACAACTGGGGCAAAAATATCTTGAGTCCAGCACCGGACTCCCATGCTAGGACAAAGCTAATTTTGCTGGTCAGGCATATGGAATGAACCACAGATGCCACCCTTCTGTCCCAGAATGTTGAGTTGAAATGGTCTGGAGAGAAGTTGGACAACTGGGACTGCCTTGTAGGAGGCCTCTATTAAGTTTAAAACCCTTATGCAAATACAAATGAGTTGTTTGGATCCTGGGGTAAATGGTCTGAATGTGGGAGTGGAGAATCTGGAGTTTTGTCTGGGGAAGGAATATCCTGGACAGGGATGTATCCAAGATCATGCCTATAGACTCCAAGTGATGAGAGGGATCCAGCACTGATTTCTGGAGATTTAATATCCACCAGAATAGAGCCTGTATAGTTTATTGAACAACAGCTGACAGTCTCAACCAACTGTTCCCTGAGAATAAGGTTATTTAGATATGGATATGCCCTGAGCATGTAACAGAGCAAAAACCATGGTGAAGACCCAAGGAGCAGCGGGCAGGCCACGGGGAAGGGCAACAAATTGTAAATGATGTGAGCCCAAAGCATAATGCAGGTAGCACTGATGCCCTGGTAAGAAGACAAGCATGTAGGCAGCTTTGATGTCCACAGAGTCCAAATGATCTCCAAAACAGGGGACAGTAACCAGCCTAGTGAATTCCATGCAGGATTTTTGTAGTCTAAGGTGTGTTAAGAACCTTTAAATCCAGTATGCGGTGGATGCCCCCTTTCGGTTTAAGGATGGTGAACAGGTTGGAATAGAAACCCTGAAACATCTCCTTTTTTGGGACAATGGAATCTTTGCAGGGACGTTAGCAACTGTGACAACATGAAACTGGGAGGAGGCAGAGACCAACATTGTAGCATGTAGCCACATTCTGAGCTCAAATGTTTGAAATGTCTGGAGACTAGATGGCCACAAAGGCCAACAGATGTCCCTACACTTTGAGAAGTGAGGGCATCCCTTCATTGTGAGGACAAATTGCTTGCAGATTTTAGGACATGGGGGCTATGGATTGGATCTTTGCCCTGGATAAACTAAAGGAACTCATCTTAGCCTACAGTTGCATAGATGGAGATTTGCCTTTTTTTCTGAAGCAAAAAGGTGCCCTTTCCCTGGTACCTTCCTTGATGTTGTGCAGAGATTTGCCAGAGGCATTTCCCGTCAAAGGCATAATGCAAGTATAATATCAACTAACTTGTCAACACAATAGAATAGGGACACAGAGCTCCAGCTGCTGGAGAACAGAAGGATCTGTTTTAGGGCCCTGGACATGACTTAGGACCAGATGGCTAAGGTCTGACAAATGGACATAGCTTTTTATGCACTGGCTCTGTAAAAATGAGGATGTCCTTAAAATTGACACAATCTTGTTATGACAGGAAATGGCTGGGTCCACATTAGGGGCAGACCACTTCTTTAGAAACTCCTCCTCTATAGGGAATTGACGGGCCAATCCGGGTTAGGACAATCACTATATAAGACTGGAGGTGATAGGGAACACAATGGAAAGGCCCTAACAGGCTGAGGGATTTTCAGAGATGCCAGACTACTAACTTAAGGTGTAGCTAAAGCAGGTAATTCGAAGTCTGCGCATGTGCACACTGTGTAAATAAGGGCCAAGGTGGGATCCTTAAGCTTTGGGATCCTTAAGTTTAAGGGATGCGTCATACATCTGACTGAAAACATTCAAGCCATGGGAGGGAAGATATGAATGACTCATGTCTGATTTTGAATGTAAGAAAGATGCTATTAGTATGCTGAACAACAACTACCTATTCTCATCCCACAAAAAATATTGTAAAGTCACTAGAAATCCATTTTCCACTGCAGTTGTCTAAATAATTTTGCTAATGAGACTTACCTTAGACTAGTGGACATTGTTAGGCCTTTCTTCTAAAATGTAAAATACTGAAATTTAAAGTGGCAAATGCCAATTAAAAAATAATTGCAAATGGCATTAATGGGGGAGAAGATTGTTGAACAAATCCTGCTGTGAGGTTATAGAGTCAGTACCACAGCAATAAAGAATAAAAGCGCTTTGAAATGTATTTCTATTGAAATGTAGAAATAAAAGAGGAATGTGAATGAATACTAAAACTGTTTGGTATGCTTATACTAGAAAAAGGGGTTAAAGGACATAGAAAAGTCACAGCAGGGAAACTTTGGTGAACACATTTTTCAAGCAACTGTGGGCCAGAACAGTTTGTGTCTAGTGTACAACAAAACATATTTTTTGCTGGCACCATTCATTTCATACTTACAGTAAAAGAAATCTTCTTTGTTTCTCTCCATGGGAATCGCAGCACTGGAGTCCGTGTGCCATTGTGCACCTCAAAGATGAGGACTCCCTTAGGACATACCCCAAGAAGGATGCCAGTCTGAGACTTTTTCTCTGGGAGCACTCTATGAAAATGAACTCCATACTCAGAAAGCCTCTGACACACCTGACATAAGGAAACGGACAATTGTAGGAATAAGTGTAAGGTTCACCAAAACAAGAAGAAACATGACTAACGTACACATTCTATTGCATATGCTTTAGCAAAGAATTCAGTTGATATTATTTATAACTCTGGACTTTTTAAACAAAAGCAAAGAACAGAACAAAAGCTGCTGAAAAACGCCCTAATAACTTTAGTCATGCGGCACAGGGCATGAACTAGAGCATATAATGTCATTTATTTTTTCACCATCTGTGTCTCATTATGGAGATTTCCCTTCACTTCCTGTCCCATAGCCAAACAGGAAGTGAGGGGAAATCCCTGCAAATTAAGGGAATTCCTTGGGGACCCCCAGGTCACCAGAACTAGTATTCCCATTGGAAGATTTCCCCTCTATTACACTTCTGGGGACAACCCAAATTTGGGATTTTCTTTTACTTTCACTTTCAATATTAATTTTTAATATTAATGGTAAACAGGACAAATAGAGAGGGTGAATCTCCTTAAAACACTACAAACTCTTTTACCACTGCAACCCCTTCCCCCTTGGAACAATTCACGTCTTTCTACCTTCTCATCTACTTCAACCAGCGCAACCTATTGCACCACTGAAGCCTCTTCCAACTCTGCACCCCCTTCCATCATTGTGCACAGCTCACCTGGAGAGTTAGTTCAGAAATCTTATTCCTGCTGGTGAGTACATTGAACTGTGGTTGGTGCTTGAGGAGGAGCCAAATGACACTGTGTGTGTTCTCAGATGATCACAGATGC